CCCCCCCCCCCCCTCATCCTTTTGTTGCAAGAGATTGGTGCCATTCTTTGGCATAAGACGACCAAGCTGGTGCAACTGGTAGCAGCTGCAAGTTCGTCCTCTTTCGTGCTACAGCACTCGTGCACGTGTACTTTCAGCGTACCGGCGAGCTCCGTTCAGTGCCACATTCTTCCACCACGAAAACGCTCGGCTGCCCTTGCACCGAAGCTTATTTTCGCTGTGCCAAGCCATGTTCCAGTTTGCCAGGCGCCAACCTGAAGAAGCTTCTTTTTATTTTGGCCAGCCTCGAGCTCGTTTCTCTCAGGGCTCACGTTTTTGAAGTTGCAGCCAAAATGCAACAATGAACAAAAGACGGAAATATACCATGTGCGGTCTACAGTAGTCGGGCGAGTTGACCACTTAACCCCCCGAGAGATTTCGAGTCGTCTTACTGTGTAGAAGTAGGCCCTTAACGTTCTGTCAAGTAAGGTTCTTTCTCGTGCTATGTCGGCGTCTTCGAAACTGTCAGGCAAAGCGAGACAAGGGGCAGGCGTCGCGAGGCAAGAGCTACGTTGAGGAGGAGAAGCGGTTGCTGAGAGAACTCGGCTCGTCATAGCGGCTGGCTCTCTCCCGTGTTTCCCCCATTAAAGATTCAGTAAACCACCACCGGTCGAAATCCGTACGCGAGTACGCGCGTTTTGGAGGGCTCGCCCTCCACGTGAGCGCCTTTTTCGCGCTGTTTATACATTGCCGCAGGTTTCAGCAGCAAGTCAGCGAAGTTGTGCTGTTTCGCCTGAATGTTGCATTTCATTTCGTATGGGTCGTCGTAAGTCGCTACCAAATAAGCCGGTCGCCCCGGTGGTCTAGTGGTATCCTCGGAAACCGCTAATCGCAGATGTCGTGAGGTCGAATCCCCATGGGGTGAAAAACTTTCTAAATTTGCGGGTGGGAGCGAAATATAGCTAAAAAAGCTCTCGTGAGTATCAACGTTAGCACCGTTGAGAAGGGAAAGGGACGGCTGGGCCCTTCTCGCGATAAAAAATAAAAATGCTGCATGGATGGCAAGAGGAAGGTAGGGCATGAAAATATATAAAAAGAAGAAAAAAGCCCTGGTGCTTACCCGCTCCTGTGACCCTGGAAGGTTGTAGTTGTACGAAAAAATACACTGAAAAGTGTAGTACCCTACATACCCTGAAAAATTGTAGTACACATCTCACCACGAAAAGTGGGGGGACTGTCGCCATAAGAAATAGGATGAAAAAACACGTACACACCCAATCAAATCGAGAGTGGCCCGATTTGCTATTTTTTCGTAAGGTTAACCTTGTGAGTGTATCTATCTTTTCCGCTGAAAGTCGGGGGATAATCAACGTACGGCCCCGTTGGTGGACTAACGGAACGAGAATGCGCATGCACAGGGGCAGACAGCCTTCTTGTGGGAAACACAGGCCGCCGCAGCGCCGCAGTAGTGTCACCTAGCGGCGCAATAGACTTTGCGACAGCAGCACCGGTGCGTCATGTTTGGTTGTCGCACGCGATTGGCAGCGCTCGACAACATGTCGAAAACACAAAACTCTGTCCGAAGCGAAGTTACCCATGACTTGCAGAAGGCGCACATGTATTTACTGTACATTGTTGAATGCCCGTAAGCCCGAAGACACCGAAAAACAAGCTTCTTGGTGGGAAACCGCCGTCGCGCGAAAAAGACGGCACACAACAAACTGAACGTGGAGTAGCCCCGTTTTCCGCCAGTAAATGGTATCATCGCCGGAGCTTATGCTCCGCCCCGACTGACGGCCGTTGGTTTGACTCTCGCATTTTCGTCATTGCTCCGCCTTCTTCTGGAGGGCAAACTCGATCCGACCCCTGCAGTCACGGGTTTGTATGCACACGATAGGCAGGAAGCGGCGGGACAATACCAGGACACGGTTAGGCCTGTCCTCCATCGGCCGTTTTGCTTGTATGACGGAGAATAAGAAGGTGGAATTACTTGAAATTAGTATAGAAATAAAGTTTGTGTATCTAAATCGAAAATAAAACGGCCGATGGAGGACAGGATGAGACACGGTTGCCGGTGAACACTCTGGAAAACATTCTTTGCTGCTTGGTCACACGAATGCGACGAATAGGGAAATGTTGTCATCCCATCTGTCCTAAAAGCTTAGTGACCATCGGACACGCAACATCATTTTCGTAGAAACCAAGCGTTGCACCATATTTCAACGCTGTTCTCGCTATTGTTCGATAGTTCCATCCCAGTTCCAGAGTGCGAGTTGATCGACAAAACGTCGCGTTGGGCACAGGCCACGCAACTCAGGCTCTCACGTTGTGATTCATGTGCATTTCATATTCCCTGAAAACGCGTGCTAGCCGTGGCAATTGACCGTCAAACTCACCACAGCTCCATGTCACGCATTCGTTTCGTCTCGAGCAGCACGTCCTTCGGCAGTCGGACTACCTTCCACAGGCCCTTGCCCACCTGAAGCACAATCCCCATCGAACCGGAGAAAGACGAGGGCACGCACGCCAAGAGACGTAGAATATGCGTCGCATTTTCACTCAACAGTGGTTGACATCGACATGGGTGTCATCATCTCCCGGGTTGAGCGAAAACCGTGAAAATCAGACTGACAGCAACACAGAGTCCAAAATGCCCGCGGGTTTCCAAAGCACGGGAACGGGGACACATCACGCATCGCGTACGGAGTGAAACGGCTGCTCCTAGTCAGCCATCTGGTTTGGGGTACTTGGATGCGAGATCCGATCTGGGTTTGTTGTTAGGAGTCCAAGTGCAGGGCCCCTCGAGAGAGAGCACGCACATGTGTCTAGTGTTCTCTAGTTCTGTGTTGTGTGCTGGAAGGAGCACCGTTATGTGTTATCAACAAGGTTTACGTCACCAATATCGGTCCTGGGTAAACGTAGTCGCCGAACTCAATCCAACTACCGCGGGGAGGTGCGGTAGCTTCCCCCGGAAACTCGGAACCCGGAAGTGGAGCAAGGGCGTCCCGTAACGGCGTTATCTTTATACAGCAGTAGGGGGGCCTCAACAACGCCGGCATGTGCCCAGCGCCTCGACCGGCGCTATTGAGGGCTCAGAAGCCCTCAATACCGCCGGCTGTGGCGCTATTGAGGGATTGTGGTCATGTGGCACAGCGATTGCGCTTTACGCAGCCAACATATTCACAAATTACATAGGAAACGATTGAGTGGTGAAGTGGGCGGACTGCAAAAGATAATTGGGCCGCCTAGAGTTGTTGTGTTCATTAAGTGATCATCCAGAAATGCGGCAGCATGCTGATCAAACGCCAGAAACAAAACAATAAAAAATAACGGCTTCGACTACACCCCTGCGTTGTCTCCCCTCCTCATTCCGCTTCAATATCTTCCGTCGCAACATATTCCCTCAGTCTGTCTGGCGCGTTTGCTTAGCAGCATGCGCTGCGATCATCGCCATCCTGGCTTTAGACAGGTAAAAGCCAGCGACTGCGTTCCCACACTCCATCGCAGCCCGCTCCAGGACGCCGAAGTGAGACGACAGTTCAGCATAGGCCGGTGAGGCACCCCTAACGCGCTCCGTGCTCACGTCTTCGTCATCTTCCCCCTTCTCTTCTTCCTCCGAATCATCATCCAAGTGAGTCCCAGCTAGCCGTGCAGTGACTTCCTCTGCCGCATCGTCTCGCATCGCGTCTAGCACGTCACCCTCATCCTCCAAGGTTCCCCAAACCCGAATCGCGTCCATGGCTTGCTCGCTCCGTTGAATCGCGTCCAAGTCATACCCTTTGAGCCCCGAGTCGTCTTCCGGTTCTCGGAAGTGGAAAGGTACGTGCGCCTGGGCATAACCTTCCACTGGATGCCTGTCTCGTCAACGTTGAAGATGTTCCTCGCCGGGAACTTTGGGCAGAGAGCCTTGATTGCTTCGATGTCCTTCTTGATGAGCTCGATGTCGACGCTGCCTGCCTCGCCATGAAGTCCTTGGCTGTGGAGTCCGTTGCGCTTCACGGAGTTCTTGGCCCATCGATCGCCGGCCTTGAACTCCTTCAGCTTCTTCCGGACTGCTGCCGAAGTTGTTGCTGTTCTCAGACGGGTGGTCTTCGCAGAGCGTCCGAAGCTTCGGATGACGTCGCGCGTGACGGAGATCTTGGCTCCCTGGCTTTCTTGAAAAGGTTCACTACCAACGCATCCACCTGGTGACGATGCAGCGAAAATGAGAGAGAGGGTGCGGGAGAGCGCGACGGCAATTTTGACGTGTACAAGTAGAGCGCAACCGGCTCGACCGCGTATACAGCCCTGTTTCTGCGTAAGTGCTTGTGCTGTTTTTTGTCTCATCATCATCAGCAAAAAAGTCAAACAACCGAAGGAGTGCTTTATGCAAGACGTCAGTATACTTAACAGTCGTATAAAATTAAGTAAATCGAGAGGTAGCTTCCGCTGACGCTATGGCTTCATTGCTACTTTTCTATCCCAGACGCTCATCTGTGGAGATGGACTTGTTGCGTCATGTGAGGATAGTTTTAAAAATCGACATGGAAGGAAAAACGAGAAAAAAATGTCGATGAAAAAGAAACACTCACAGGCAGGGCTTGAATCCTTGCCTGAAAAACAAGAAAACCAATCGGATTGGTTCCAGCGGTGTGTGTCTCACCCCTGGAAAGTTTCCTTGCCGCGAGCACTTCTTGCCGCCTGCGCCTGCTGTGGTTGCCTTTTCCTTGATCTTCGCCTGGTCAGCTTTGATTTGACGAACCATCCGTTCCGAGCAGCCGAAGGAGTCCGCTATCTGCTCATGGGATACCTTCCTCTCTAGCATATCCAGGACCTTGAGCTTCTGGTCGAAGGTTAAGAACTTACGAGTGGCGCCACCCCCCCCTGTTTTCTTTGTCGTCCTCTGGGACTTGGATTTTCGAGCCCCAGCACCCTCCGGTGGCGCTGGCGCGCTGTGCGCTTGCCGTTCTTCGCGACGCACGCACTGCAGATGCGGTTCTGATCGATGTCATCAAAAATGCTGCCGCGATTGCCGTGGAGCCGCCTGCCACATCCTCCCTTGCAACCGTGGCCATAAGGAGCTTGCGGCGTCTTGTCTTGCTGAAGGCACAACTCACCTTCCGCACAAGGCATGGTGCGCCTCTACGTGGAGCTGTAAGGTCTGTAGATGCACGTGTGTACTGCTACTGGTGTGTAACCTCCTCAGGGCAGGTGTGTGGTGCGTGGTTTGTGTGCGTGTAAAAATAAGAATCCGGCGCTATTGCGGGGTGTAGCGGTGCCCAAACCGGCGTTATTGAGGGCTCTGGCTGTGCCCAGCAATATTACCGGCGCTATTGAGGGCCACCGGCGGTATTCAACCGGCGTTATTGAGGGCCCCCCACTGTACAGCATACGGGACCTCTGCACTTACACACCTGCTCCTGCAGAGCACCCGCCGGCCAAGAGAGATGGTTGAAGAAAAACTTGAAGTCGCTGGGTTTCGCCTTGTTTTCCTCCACGAGATCCAAGGCGGTCACGAAGCCTCCCACGAACAGGCCCGTGTCGCCCAACGGCCTCGACCCCATGATGTCGTGCGGGTGGATCATGATGGCGGCCTCCCCGCCGTCCTAGTGTGACCAGGGGGAAGAAAAGCACGGAGCAAAGTGGGGTTGCGAGGGCTGAGTTTGGAGAAAGGAAAATGGTGGGGCTTGCGAGTGGATGAGGGCTGGTTGGACCTCGATGGCATCACGACCGAGAGGCGGCGTGCGCTGCCGAAACAACATACAAAAATGCATCTTTTCACCATGCGATACGAAACGGAACCGGCGGTAACACCGAGTTACATCCTACAAAAACCCGACATGCAATTGCTTGCTTAGACGGGGCACTTCGAGGAACTTAGAGGACACGTGTCCCAAACCCTGTCAGTGCAAGTCCCGCCTCTTCTCTGCTGGTTGCTCTCGTGTGGGACGAAAGAGTTGTATGCGGGATACCTGCAGTTTTCAGGTATAATATGCCTATACAGGCACTCCCAACAATTTTGAAAGCATGGGAAAGGACACACGCCGCAAACGCAACACTTTGAATGCCTGGAAGAGGACACACACACACACACACGCAAACGTACATCACCGCCCCGAAAAAGTCGGTTGTTGGAAAGCGGTCCGAGGTCTCCGGTCGACATCTCCCCGATCGTGAAGTCCAACCCTTTGTCTACGCAAACCGCTCTTGACGGCCCTCCTTCTCCGTGCTCGTAAACTAGCGCGACGGCCTGCCGGTGCACGAAAAAGGAGACAGGCGAGAGCGATGCTTGTGTGATGTGGTGTGGATTGTTGCCAAGCCGGTACATAGCACAGCTTCTCTGCAGGAACTCGATGCACCTGTGTTGCAGTAAAAGCAAACTTGAAAATACGTCCTTTCTTGGAAGAGGGAAACCATCTACCAGCCCGTTCTGGATTTTCACCCCCCTGCGCCCATGTGGCCATGATTCTCACCATTGCCGGGGCTCCACGGCAGTGAGACAGCGGGCGTGAGAGAGCAGTGGACGTGTCAAGCATGGTTCTTTGCTTTGTCCGATATACAGCTTACCATATGCCGTATATCTTGCCATCTATTGGGAGGAATAGTACGCTGCGATACGTCAACGCGGCAATCCGCTGGAAACAACGCCATGCACAGCTCCCAAGGCGGGCTTTGTGTGGCCCATCAAAGTAATGAAGAGGGCCTACCGCGGTCGCACGTTTTGTAGCGTCAACACGACGATCGCAATGGAAAAGAACGCTAAATAGCAGTAATGTACAATGGACAAGAACGTTAAAAAGCAGCAATACACAGCGACCAAACGCGGCAGATTCAACAGGACCAGCACGTTGGTGAAACGCCTTCAACTTCGTGAGCTGTCGAATACTCGTGCGCGTTGCCACACTGCAATTGGTACACCATTTTCTACAGCAATAGCCTGTGAAGTCGATGATAAGTAAGACAGGTGGTGTACCACCGTTGGGCCTTTGGGAGCGGATGCAAGTGCAAACCGTACGTCATGTGGTCCCCGAAACAGGTGTAACAGCACAGGTCGCGTGCAGGGTCGACTAGAGGGTGGTCAGTTGCTGTAGGAGTTCAAAGTTTAAGAGGTGATAGCCTTTGCTGTAAAGTTGCTGCTTTGAGCGATCCTAAAAGAACGGTCACAAAGACAGCTTCAGAACCGTAATAGAAGCTTCGCGTGCCGCTTGCGTGAGGATCCTGCCGTCGACAGCGCCGTAAGTACTGCATTTGCTTGTACTCTAGGGTGTCATGGATCCTTCGATGTGCCAACCGACACATGCTGAACACGATGTACAGCAAGTTCGAACGTTTGAACGACATGCATCATGTGTCAAACCTTGAACGTCATGCTTCCGTAGTTGTCAGCTCCCGCGACCAGGACGCTCCCAATTTCCAAGCCTCGGTCCAACTCCACCTCAAATGCAGCTTGTAGTCCCCCAACACCCCCTGCAGCGACGCGTCGTCGTCGCATTTCGCACAGCAGTGTGCTGCTCTCGGCGGCAGCAGCGCGCGAGCGTGCGGATGTTCTGGGACAAGCACTCTCTGTTGTTGTCAGCCGAAGGGCGGCGGCATTGCCTACGAACCCCGCGGCTGGTCTTACCAAACACGACACCAGGAGGGACCACGTCCAGAGAGTGGATCTCTGCGTTGCCATGCTCTCCTTGGTGGTGTGCTGCTGTGGCTGCTGTGAGTGCTCACTGCGTTGCGGGCCCCCCGTGTGATCAGTTGCCGTGTGATCAGTTGCGGTAAGGTACTTTCTGTGTGCCCCCGACAGCCTTCTCCCGAGCAGAGGCGCGGTTTGGGCTGATCACGTCACTTTGTGTTGCCCGCGCTGTTGGTTGTGGGTTGTGGGGCGATGTTCGAGAAAAGTCTGCAGGATGTTGTCAAGGGAATCCGCGCCAACAAACGAGATCCTTCCGATTACATTTCGGCAACAATCGCGGAGATCAAAGTGGAGCTCAGGAGCTCGGATGCCTTCATCAAAGCGCAAGCGGTGAGAAACGAGGCTAACAACTTGGGCACATACTTGACCCCGCTGGGAGAGTTGCTGCCAAGATGCAGGGAGGGTGGTGACCAGGACAACCTGTTGCGTCGGAAGAGTTGCTAACGAGCTAGCAGAGCAAATATGTTCGGGCGGAATGCGCTTCCAAATTACGGAGATGTGCTTCGGTGAAGGCCGCACGACTCCTCTGTTTCTCAATCAGTCACACCTGCGGGGTGTGCCCCTGCTCTCTTATGCAGAGAGAGGGAGCGGTGCTGCTGGTTTGGAACAGACGAGCCTTGATGATGAGAAATATTAATGTCTCTTTTGCGAGCATGGCTCTAGCCTTCCATACAATGTAGGCTGCCTTCGTGGGTTTCCCGAAACTCAAGCTCCTGATGATGTAGCCTCTCTGCTGGATGCGGCCCCGACCCAGCGCTGACACGGAATACATCTCTCCGCGGATGTTGTGGGCACTGCTCACGCGCACCGGTTAGCCAGCTAATCGCGCCGGGACCACGTAGGCAGAATCAAAACAGTGCTTGCTGTACGGCAGAGGCTGGTGCATTCGAGTAAGGTTTGCTTCTCAGCCTAAGTCACCAAAATAGCGTGCCTCGTTTGTGCTTGTGTGACACAGCAGTGATACAGGATGTTGATCTCGGCAGAGCGGGGGGTGTGATCACTTTTTGGCACGGCACACCTTTGGTTCGAAAGGAGAATCATCCCGCTTGGGATGTTTTGCAGTCAACAGCAGGACGACCTTTGACGGCAAATGGTCCCCCAGTACCTTGCTGGTTACCTCTCCAGCCTACCTGTACGCGTGGTATCCACATGCTCGTAACGTCTGGCGAGAAAGAGTGAAACAAACAATAATAATTCCGGGCGGCGGGGGGGCGGGGGGGCGGGGGGCGCGACAAGACGATCTGCTCCACGCTCCCCCCTTCACTGGTCGTCAATGGGGCTCATGAAACACAGGGTTGATCCTGAGGACTGCTGTGATGATGTGGACTGCTGTTGCTGTGTGGGTTCGCCGGAGGATGCTCCTCAAGGGCGCACCCTCGTACCGTAGAACACGCGTCTTTGCCCACCGTAGACTTGCTTTTCGGAACACGGAACATGACTGGCCGATGTCCTGAGGTATCGTGGCTGTTGTCGGGCCAAGACGAAAGTCTGTTCGGATAGGTCTCGGCGGTGGCCAGGGATGTGATGCCAAGAAGGGCTTGGGCAATAGCAGACAAGAATCCCAGCAGGGGTTCCGCATGATCCACTGCTGTGCTGTGTAATTCGTCCCCAACTACCGGTTTTCTGTAGGGAGCAACGCTGGTACCCCCGTCCCAACCTCCCGTTGCCCTTGCTGACTTGTTTCCATCATAGCTTACGTGTAGCAAGTGCTACGAGTTGGTCAGTTTCTATTGTTGCGTCGTTGACACTGCGGAGAACTGCTATCAATGGCTGTCCCATCACATGGAAGAAATTGTGTGCCATGTTTTTTTGTTCCGGGAGAACCCCACACCCGCAGGACCCTTCCTTCCCCTCCACCCTTTGCTCGACGTTCTGCTGCGTGCATCTTGTCGCAGATTCGTAAGCTGACGTATCTGCAGATGCTGGGCTACGACATGAGTTGGGCGGCATTCTACGTCATCGAGGTGGGTTGTACATCTGTTCGTCTTTTACTCCGTTGTGTGTGTAGAACTATTTTCAATTTTCATTGCTGTGTACGAGAAGCAGAGAGAGGAAGTCCGTGTGGGCGTAGGCCAGAGATTTTGCGCAATGGTCGTGTGTTGAGTAGCATCCGGGAATTCTGAAGGTGCATAGGCAGGCGTCAAGGACAACGGCACCCGTACACCGCCGCGTAAAGAATCACCGCACTCCAATCGTCTCCAGCTTTTGTCCGCTCTAGTTTCTTTAGAGTACGACCTGGTAGGCCGCTTCAAGCGTTGTATTGCTTGACAGTTGTAGCCTCGAGTATGGAGCAAGGGCACCCGTAAATATGGGAACCGGGTGGGGTGGGGGTGAAGCGAGTAGGATAGAGTTTTTGTCATCCTCGACCCCCCCCCCCCCCCCTGAATGAAACGCTGCCCCCATCCAGCCGGTGCCATTGGCCGTCTCTTATCTACATTTTCGACTTAGAATGAATCTGCTGGCGCGATTTCAGGTGATGACCATGCCCCGGTTCGCGCACAAGCGAGTCGGATACCTGGCCGCTAATCAGTGCTTCACGGAGGACACGGAGGTGGTGCTCCTGTGCACCAACCACCTGCAGAAGGAGTTCAAGTCGCAGAATCCGGTAAGGACAAATAAATACGCCAGAGGGTGGGTAGGGGGGGGGGCGTCTCATGTGTTTTTTTTTTTGCATGCTTTGGTAGTTTGGTGTGTGTGTGTGTACTTTTAGTTGGCATGTCGTAGTCGTTAGACCGTTGACCTCGCATCCCTACAAAGCCGGGAGGCAGCACGCCGGGTTCTCACCGGACCAGGCTCTCACATCAAGCGCGAAGTACCGTGAGGTATTCGGTGAGTCGCATGAAGGGTGCGCTGCATCCTGCTAAGGGTGTTGGGCATAATGTGCATACTCCTCGCATACGGACGGCAGCTGCGATAATTAAGTTTTTGGTGCTTTCACTTCCGGAGACCGTCATATATGCACTGTGTAGCGAGGGTGCTCGAACTATTCAACACAACGTGGTGCGATCATCCCCTTTGCGCCGAGTGAGGGTTGTCCACCCCGCACATCATCTATTCGACCATCATTTACAATGTCTGGTTCCAGCAATAAAAAACGAAGGGCAACGAAAAAAGCGGGAACTGGTTATGGACAACAAAGCGATCGGCTTGCTTTACGACGTCGTTGCCAAGCGTCGAAAACCCAACCCCGATGGCGAACACCAAGGGGAGGGGAGTGCGGGGCAGAATGGCAAACGAACTTCGAACACTGAAATTGGTAGACGGTAGGAAGGGAAGACCGGCTGGCACAGAGAACGGTGGCGAGTGCAATCGATAGAGAGAGGGGGCGAGGTGGCGAGCAAAACGACCGACCTTGCGTACGTTTTTGGAATGTGCACAGGCGAGAAAAAAGGGTTAGTTGATCTGCCCCGCTACCTCATTTGTGTGGCGCACCGCGCTCGGCTCCCCCCATGTTTTATCTGGGAGTGACACATGCTGCCGAAGCTTCCATGGCGGCACCTACAGTACGTTTTTGTGTGTAGTATACAGGTCGGCATGCCAAGGTCCGTCGGTAGACGTGCGGGTTTTGGTAATGACTTGCCAGGGCGTCCATTTGGTCGAGCTTTTGCTCGAAGGGTCGGGGGGGGGGAGTGTTCACAACGGCGGTAGATCGGGCAACATGTTGGGCCATTGGCTGTCTATCGCGAGTGGGTCCACTGTTTGTCGGCTTCCGGAAAATGAGAGGAAAAGCCAACAAGCATCTTGGTGGGGGGTAACTTCTTCATACTGCTGCGGCCTCAGACCATGCCACCGTCAGGAGCTGTTCCGAAGAACATTCTCCGCGTGTAAACTTTTCCCACGGTTTCGTCCGTATACTGATTTCGGCCTCCGCACCCCCTTTGCTTTGTATCTGGATGAACCACCCCGGCAGTACGATGTGGGTCTGGCCATCAACTGTCTGGCTAATATCGCCACCCCGGGCTTGTCGCGAGACCTCATCAGCGACTTGGTGCAGCTCCTCGGGAACCACAAGCCCTACGTTCGCAAGAAGGCGCTGCTTGCGATGTGAGCTTGTTTTTTTTTGGTGTTGTTCATGCGCGTGTGCTGTTGCCGTGTGTTCGAAGCACGGTGGTGTTGAGCCACTTGTAGTACAGGTATCCAGAGGGCCGGCGGCTCGTAGTGGCTTTTCGAAAGCAGGGCCGCTGTCTTCGAGTCTCGATTTGCTCGGCTTTTAGGTATCGCACTACTGCTGACGGGGTCGTCCTGTCTCTAGGAATACCCAGCATTTTCCTTCTCTGAAACCAAGTAGTGAACAAAAAAATAGGACGGCCTTTGTGTTTTCGTTGTTGTTGTTGCTGTTCGCAGAGATGCGCCCAAACAAGACAGGCATACAGAGTTCTGCTGGCGGCAGCTGTAGAAAATCCTTTGATCTTGCGTGAGGTGTAGAGAAGACGCAGGTGTTGTTGTTGTTGTTGTTATTGTTGCTGTTGTTGTTGTTGTTGCTGTTTCTCACACTAGCTCTAAAGTCCACAACAATGGGGAGCCCGTGGTCGCAGAAACCCGGCACATACGACGCCGCGGGGAAACAAAGCAAAATTAGGGCACCAAGCACTCGGAAAAAGAAAGCAAAATGATAGGAAGAGTGTGTATGCATGCGGACCACACCACGCGAAAGTGACAAACCTTTCGACTTTTTGTCGCTGTGTTTTTCGTTCTTTTCTTCGTCTTGATGCCGTCCTCCCATTCTCAGGCGGTTGTTTTGAAACGGTCTTTCCCTCTTCTTTCTTGACTTTTTGTGTCCGGAGCGAGAGGACACGTCCCACGAAATATCCACGATACTCATGTATTAGAGACATCAATAAAAGGAAAAAAAAAAAAAAAGCACAAAAGTACGCATGCACGCGCCAACGCCTCACCCAGGTACAAGCTATTCATCAAGTACCCCCAGGGGCTCCGCCTGACGTTCGACCGCATCAAGGAACGCCTCGAGGACTCGGACAGCAGCGTCGTAAGCTGCGCGGTTAACGTGATCTGCGAGCTAGCGGACAAGAACCCCAAGAACTACCTGGCCATGGCCCCGCAGTTCTTCCGGCTCCTCACCACCTCCTCGAACAACTGGATGCTCATCAAGGTGTGTTGTGTGTGTGCAGTAAGCAGCCTTCGGGAGGGTAACTTGGTTTGAGTAGGGGTTGCTGGGTTCGGGGCAAGGATGAAGAACCCCCCCGTGTCTGTTTCACATACATGTTAACGACGGCGGTCGTGTGAGGGCGGGTGAGGAGGGGGTGGAGAGATGAGCACGGGAGGATTTTTTAACGTGTGTGTGTGTGTGTGTAATTAGCATCGGCCGCGGTCTGGCCAGGTGCCAAGTAGAAGACACCGCTTTTTGTGTTTTCATTGTTAGCATCGACCGCGCTAACCGGCTGACCAATGAAAAGACGTCAGTCTTAGTGCGGCTGAAAACACAAAACCCTTCCATCTACCATGAACTGGAACCCCGTGAGGGTGTTTGTGTTGCGTGTTGGGACTTGGTACCCGCGCGGGCTGTGTTGGTTTGTTTTGCCTCTGAATCGGTGTGAAGGTGCAGTGGGTGGTGTTTGGCTCTGGTCGGCGACGATTGTCCCCGTGACTCAGTTTTTAATAATCTGTTCAACGGGTCGAGTTTCCGTTCCTTCCCTCCACATCATCACCGGCGTACTATAATGGCTGCGTGCCTATGTTGTAAACAGAAGAGGGCACGGACATGGTTTCTTGGTCTATCCCCGAAGGCATGCAAAACATGAGCCCCCCACCCCCCCACCCCGCCCAACTCTCCTCGCCGACCCTCCTTCTCGCCGCTCTTCGTTTGTCGCTCTTGCCGGGCTACTGCCCTCGACGATCCTTTGGTGCTGCGCGCTCGCTGGCCGATGTATCGGCGGTGGCTTTCTGCAATAAAAGGTGGTGAAGCTTTTGGGGTCGCTGGTGCCGGAGGAGCCGCGTCTAGCGAGGAAGCTGCTGGAACCCTTGGCGACTATCATTCAGGTGTGCTTGTGTTGTGTACGTTTGGAGGGAGGTCAAGGTCGGGGGAGGGGGCACAGGGAATCTTTGGGAAGTCGCCCTATTTATTTTCGATTGTCAAAAGCGGTACCACCTGGTGTGCCATCGATCGCGTTTGCTGCACTGCTGTTGTCACACCCTTCGATCGCTCTTTGATCGCGTTTTGTCCTCGGTTAAGAGTCTTGGTTCGGTTGGTTTGCGAACGAGAAATATACGTGAGATTGTTTGGACTTTTTGCCTATTCTTGCTCGCCTATTTACTTGTTGTGCTTGGTCTTCATTCTCACATCTGCGGTGCCCCCCCCCCCCCCCCCCCCCCCCCCCCCCCCCCCCCCCCCCCCCCCCC